GAGGCCCCACGCGCACATCCCCGCCCTGGTCCCCAGGGCAGCGTGGCCTCCGCTGCAGCTGGCCAGTCGGTCCTCATCCCTCAGGAGCCCGCCGCTGAGCAAGCTCGGGGGTTTGGGAGGGATGCTGAGTGCGCGCTGACAAAAGGCCTGTAGGGAAGGCAGGTGACAGAGAGACTGATACAGCCAGATTCCAAGGGGGAGAGTCTGACTAGAGAAGCCTAAGGAGTGGGAAGAACATACCTACTGGAGGTGCTGAGCAGAAAAGAGAAGCAAAAAATGCCGAGAAAGGCAGCAAGTCACCCAAATAATTTTGTTCCATAATGAAGTGATAGCAACTGCTGTTACCGAGCTGCTCCAGAGTGACGGCCAGTGGTGGCCAGGGCCCACCAAACACCGCAGGAGCTGCTGGCGTCCTCCCGTTCTACACAGAGCAGGTCCCCGCTGGGCTCCGCGCTGGGCTCCCCAAGCTTGGCTCCACGCTGGGCTGCTCTGGAGCTCTGGCCACGCCATCAAGAAGGAAACGGACACGGGAAGGCACAGTCAAGCCAGGATCATGCACAGAAAATGTGAATGAATATCTCGGAAACAAGTCAATGAAAACCACAGAATCAATGAGACTACATTAAAAAGAAGCAAGATTTTAAAAAATTAATATATACCAGCTAAATTTCTAGAAGGTATTAGATAAATTGAAGGCAGCAAAAACAATATTTCCCTGTTAATAGGAAGTTGTAGAAACTGTAAAAGTCCAAGGTTAAACCTTACACAAAATGCCTATCTAATAAGAGAAATATGCAAATTAGCCCGGGCGCCAAAGGCAGGGACCGAACAGCAGGCTGCGCGCACCTGCACCTTCTCCCTGGGCCTGCCCTGCGGATACAACACGTTTGGGTGGAGGCGGCGCTGTCAGCTCTCCCGGAAGATGCTTCTTCTAAGCTGCCGCCTAGAAGCAACCTTCCCAGGGACCCGGAGCGAGAGGCTGAGCGCGCCACCCTGCCCTGCCGCCCTCGCCTCCGCCTGGCCCTGCCCTGCCGCCCTCCGAGCCCCAGAGTCCTCCAGAGCCCCCAGAAAACCTCCTTCGAAGACAGAGCCAGGTGGTCCGGTATCTTCTGTGGGAACGCCCTCACCACCCTGCCCTGCCGCCCTCGCCTCCGCCTGGCCCTGCCCTGCCGCCCTCCGAGCCCCAGAGTCCTCCAGAGCCCCCAGAAAACCTCCTTCGAAGACAGAGCCAGGTGGTCCGGTATCTTCTGTGGGAAAACGGCCAGAGCAGTGACCCCTCGCGCCTTCCCTCACAGAGAAAGGTGATAGCCCTCCATCCCGCGCACCCACCCCCTCCACCTGTCTGGGCTCCTCTAGCCAAGCATCGCAGAGAGTCTGCCTCGGGACAAAATTCCTCCCCAACGCCCTCGCTTTCTCCCTGGACCTCTAATCATAAAGGTCACGCAATCGATCGCCAGGAGGGCCTCCGCGCAGCCCGGCCCGGACACGCCCCCGAGGAGGCCACCACAAGCACCTGCACCTGCGTGTGTCCCCGCTCAGTGCTGACATGACATTGAGTGCGTCCCCACCCAGCGCTGAAGTGACCCTGCGGGGGGCGGGGCTTGACAGTTGTGCTGCCTGTGGGTCTTGGTCTCACCCAGTGGGGGTCCAGCCGGCCAGGTCTGGGTCTCAAATGATTTCAAGGCGTATGCAGGTGGGTGGAGACTTGACTCTGGGTCCTGCGGCCGCCCCAGACTCTGACAGGAAGGAGGAGGGAGCCTGATACCCACACAGCAGGGCGGTAGGAGCCCCATCCCTCACGGAATCGGCCGTTGGTCAGCTTGCTGTCAGTGGGCTGACAGCCAGGAATCCATTCACCCGCACCCCAGACCCTGACAGCAGGGCGGCGGGAATATGTCTAAAGACCAACTATTCGCACAAAGTACCTCTGAAACCGAAAGAAGCCATTGTTGGCGACACAATGTGTCTGAAGGCCAACTATTGGCAGGCACCAGGTATCTCTGCAGCCAAAAGAAAGCGTCGTCAACAGAATATGTCTGAGGACCAATTATTGGCACAACGTACCTTTGAAGTCGAAAGAAGCAGGCATCGGCGACAGAATGTATCTGAAGAGCAACTATTGGCACCACGTAGGTCTGCAGCTGAAAGAAATCCACTCATCGACAGAAAATGTCTGAAGACCAATGTGCCTCTGAAGCTGAAAGAAGGCGGCGGCATCGGCAGACTATGTCTAGAGAACAGTCATCAACAAGTACTACCAATACCGGTAGGAACTGCCTTCACAGCGAAAATGGAGTACATGAGGATGCAACTATCGAACATAGTTGTGGTGGAATGACTGTTTGATGTGAATTTTGCCTATCACTAAATTTCTCCAATGAAAAACCATCTGATGGAAAGTTTTTCCAAATGATATACATTTTCCAGAACACCCGGCATATTTTAAAAAATTAATAATAAATGAAAATTCTGACAGTAAAAATTTCATGGAAAATATTCGTTCAATAAATAGTTCTTTTGCTTTTGCTTCAATGGGTGCAAATATTGCATCATGATCAGGATGACATTGACCATATAGTTAAGGCAGAAATTACAGATGAAGACCAGTGTCCTCTAGTTTTTCAAATTGTAAAATCAAATATGGTACATGGAGCATGTGGAATGCAAAATCCAAATAGTCCATGTATGGAAAATGGAAAATGTTCAAAGGGATATCCGAAAGAATTTCAAAATGCGACCATTGGAAATATTGATGGATATCCCAAATACAAACGAAGATCTGGTAGCACCATGTCTATTGGAAATAAAGTTGTTGATAACACTTGGATTGTCCCTTATAACCTGTATTTGTGCCTTAAATATAACTGTCATATAAATGTTGAAGTCTGTGCATCGATTAAAAGTGTCAAATATCTATTTAAATACATCTATAAAGGGCACGATTGTGCCAATATTCAAATTTCTGAAAAAAATATTATCAATCATGACGAAGTACAGGACTTCATTGACTCCAGGTATGTGAACGCTCCTGAGGCTGTTTGGAGACTTCTTGCAA